ATATACAGCTTCAAGTGAAACATTTAAACATACGAAAATTCAAAGCTGTCCATTGCATGTTATGTTCAGAATTGATAAATCAGAATGTCTGCATTTAAATACACCAGAATTTCAGAAAATAAAGGGCAATGCATGAGCACAGAAATTTGGTGTCCTAGTAATAATGGTCCCACCACCATTGGTGGATCCAAAACAAAGCATCGTCGGGGGCACATTTGTTAAACAAATCTAACATCCACCTCTCCAAAAAAGTCTAGTGAACTTTTCATGACATCCTGTGACTAATCTGAAAAAACATTTGTCACTCTTAAAGATATGTCTTTGAAAACTTGTGTCACAAATGTCGAATATTAAGTTCTTTTTTTTCTGTATGGAGGAAGTAAAGCTAGATTGGGGAATATTACCAGAACCATCTCATATACTTTTGAATCCCTGAGATAAAACTTAAACTCGGCCCCTCTATACAAAGACTTCATTTCTTAACTTATGAAATATTTACAAAGTGCTCGGTTTTCAATTGAGCTAACTCTTCAATTTTTTTCTCTTTACACCTACTTTCCATTTCTAGATAATTCTTGCTAAAAAGGAATTGTAATTCTAAATTCACGGTAAGAACTAAGTGACTAACAAACAATGAACTAATGCTCCCTTGGTCCCGTAAAAATGATTTACTTTTCTTTCTTTGATTTGTCCTTAAATAAGGTTTCATTTTCTTCCTAAAGAAGAAATTGTGTGTTTCGTTATATTTCTTTATTTATATAATTTCACCTTTCTTAGTAATCGCGATGATTCATGGTTCCAATGCGAAAAATCTTATTTTGGGAGAGGAGTGATTACCAATCACTACAAATCACAGAATACCCATAAAAAGTTATCCGGAAACCCAATTTGTTTAAAAGATAAACAAAAGCAAGAACATCTTCCTCATTTTGAAAAAAAAGTGAGAAAGCGAATTCCAAAAACAAAGGGAACACCAGCAATTAGAAGCCAGAGAGTTCAACTTATAACTTTTTTTTTAGCAGTGATTTTACTGCTTGATTAAGGATTTAAATCTTAATATAATAATACTCCGCGAGAAATAAAATATAAGTCACAATCAACTATGTATTTAATTTTCTGTAAGATCATAAAATTATAAATGGTGAATAACAATATAAAAATTTTATATATAAAATTATTACAAACTATCATCACAATAACCCAAGTTTATTTAAGATCTTAAGATTTCAACCCTAAATCTCAATAACCCTAGTTTTTTAAAAAAAATAAAACTTTTATATCTATTTATTATAACCCTAAATCATAATAACACTTGGAATTTGAGATGAAGAAGTAAGGATTTTAAGAAGAAAGCATAAATGCTGTTGTGCTCTAACCGTGTTGCCTGCTACTAGTCGGCAAGACTGCCAAAAGAAATCAGAAATCAGAAATGGACTGAAACATCGCTGCTCTCAATCAGGCTTCTCTTTCTTTTGGCGTCGGATGGCTATGGAGAAGTTGGGTATTACAGAGAGAGGATCGCCATCTTCATCAGTTTGATCGATCGATCTGGACGGGAGGGAGTGAGCCAGCCAGCGGGATTATGCTTCCTAATTGTTTCTAATCGTTTGTTGTAACTTGTAACACATTTTCATGTTTGTTTTTGTTTAGGGAGCCTCCACTCTAATGAGAACTTTCTCACTTCATTGGAAATCGAATTTGTGATCTTTTATTTAGGGTTAGTTTAGTTCTCATTGGTTCTATGGAATTGAATCCCATGGGATTCAATTCCAATTCCGTCAATTCCGTATACTAAACTGACCCTAAATAAAAGATCACAAATTCGATTTCCAATGAAGTGAGAAAGTTCTCATTAGAGTGGAGGCTCCCTAAACAAAAACAAACATGAAAATGTGTTAAAAGTTACAACAAACGATTAGAAACAATTAGGAAGCATAATCCCGGTGGCTGGCTCACTCCCTCCCGTCCAGATCGGTCGATCAAACTGATGAAGATGGCGATCCTCTCTCTGTAATACCCAACTTCTCCATAGCCATCCGACGCCAAAAGAAAGAGAAGCCTGATTGAGAGCAGCGATGTTTCAGTCCATTTCTGATTTCTGATTTCTTTTGGCAGTCTTGCCGACTAGTAGCAGGCAACACGGTTAGAGCACAACAGCATTTATGCTTTCTTCTTAAAATCCTAACTTCTTCATCTCAAATTCCAAGTGTTATTATGATTTGGAATTGAATTGACCATGTGTTTCGTTATAATTCTTATTTCCCTAAACAATTATTTCCTAGTGAAAATTGACCTATTTCCCTAACTTCCGATCAACGTAGTACCCTAAGGCCCTGTTTGGTATACAAAATTCAAATTATAGAATTGGAATTGAGCACTTCAATTCTAATTCTGGTGTTTGGTAGCACAAAAATTATGTAGATTTGGAATTGATAGTGCAAAAAATGGATTAGAATTGGCAGAATTCAATTCTATGGAATTGAATCCCATGGGATTCAATTCCAATTCCGTCAATTCCGTATACTAAACTGACCCTAAATAAAAGATCACAAATTCGATTTCCAATGAAGTGAGAAAGTTCTCATTAGAGTGGAGGCTCCCTAAACAAAAACAAACATGAATGGGGAGCCAAGTGCCTAGCCAGGCGGCAGCCAAGTGCCTAGTCATAAGTAAATTGAAAATTACCTGCGCGTTGCGCCACTGTTTGAATCCGAAGAGTGAGAGAGAGACGATAGTGGACTGACTGATGACTGAGAAGGTGGAGATTCAGGGGATGACAAACGACGGAGAGGGAGACGACGACTTGCACCTGAGATGGACACGGTGATTTTCGCGATGAGTGAGACACAGTGGTGAGGGAGACGACGATTCAGTCTGTCTGTGAGGGGGGCAGATGGCAGAGAAGGCGACAACGATTCATGTGGAGATG